GTAGTAAACAGTATAGCAATAGATGACTCCGGTCTGGGTGCTCTAGCTCTTTCACTCCTAATAATCGTTGTCCTCTTACTGCTACTAGATTTCTCAATAGCCCCAAATTCAGGAGGTAGTAACACATCAGAGATATAGGTCTATACCTTACTATGATAGCACATCCTCGTGACTAGATTGGCGAATGGGAGATTCACCTTTGGCTTTCTAGCCTAAGCAAAGTCCTTCATGAACTCCCAGATCAATAAAGGCACATCCATTCTCTTCCCAATAATAAATGCATGGAGGAGGGCAAGCTTCTCCACATTTGGGTTCTTCTCCACACCCTGGGGGATCAAATTGTAGTGCAAGATCTTGTTCATGACCCCTTATGAGTGCTCGAGGCCCCCAACTTGAATTGTCCTTTTGATTTGGTTTGGGTCCTCATATGTCAACTGCACATAATCAGGGAGTGATTTTCTCCCTTGGACATTGTCGAGATATACTAGGATAATGGGAGGAGGTATCTGGTACTTCATCAATGTCGCAATCAAGTCTGAGGTAATCTCAAAGACCTTCCCCCTCACATTGGTCTTGAGTACACAAAGGTCCTTGTCAACCATAGTCAATATCATATAAAACTCCCTACACATCGCCAAGTTATACCCACTAACTGGCTCAAACCAAATCCAAATACCATGCCCCTCAATCACCCTCACCACCTCGTCATTCAGCTCGAGGGTGGGCATGTCCACGTGATGCTTGCAAGTGACATTTTGCTCATCGATGCTCTTATTGCGAGCATCATTTTTCTACTTCTTTCTTCTCTCCCCACTCTCTCCACTAGGGCCCTCATCTATTCTATTGCGAGAACTCGTGTCCGCGGGTTGTGGGGAACCCAACCTAGTTTGTTTCGTTTGGGCCATAAAGGCCAAAAACCACATCAAAAGTTGCTCCACGGGGTCGAAAGCGACAAGAGATAGCTTACCTATGTGGTCCATTGCAAAGGATTCGAAGGTTTTAAAGAAAACATAAGTGAAATGGATTTGGGAAAAAAACTAGGGTTTTGTGAAAAATCCAAAAACTTTCAGTAAAATCCAAATAGAATCAACTTATAGGGATGAAATGTTGGAGATTGGGTGGATGGGTGAGAGATCATTGAAGTTTGGAGGAGTTTTTATAGAGAGGAGAGAGCTTGAGAGGTCAAGATTAGAGGGGAGAGTGAAAGGTTTCCCAAAAGAAACTGACTTAAAACCCTCATTTCCTAGTTTTCTGGGCAAAACCTACTGGTAGAATGTTCAAAAGAAAATATTTTTTGGCTTTTTCTTTTTTCAGTGTTTTCAAATTTTTAATATATCATATAAATAGAAAAATATTCACAAGCATGAAATAAATAAAGGAAAAATAAAGCAATTAAACATAAATCCTAAAAAGAATGTCAAACTTGACATCAAAACTATGTTAGCATTTTTTAATTTCTTTTGTTTTTAGTTTTTCAAATTTTCAATGTTTTTGTCTTTTCTCATAAGAAAATAAATCAAAAATAAATTTAAAAAAATATACAAATTATGTCTTTAGGGTATTTGATGCAATGTATGTAAGATACATCTAGGTCCATACTACTCATCTCACCTACTTCTTAGGTGACGTGACATTGTTGGAAGCACTCAGAGCATCTAACTTGGTTGAGATGGTGAGTCTCTCAAAATCCTCCCTAGTCACCCATACTTGTTGTTCCTTCAAACTCGGGTTTAGTCGAGAAATGGGTGGAGGAATAACTCTCTTCTCTCTAAAAGTGTGTAGATCAATCTTGACCTTTGGAGTAGAAGGAGCTTTGTGCATTCTAGCATGTAAGCCTTTAGATGATGATGCATGTCTATGCTTGGACTCACTTGACCTTTCCAAAAGCCTAGAAATATTTATGACTTGGATATTTTGTTTTTTTTTTTTTTGGTCAGGATGACTTGGTGTTTAAAGCTTTGGATTAGTTGGCTAGATGCATGAGCTTCTTATTTGAGACTTCCCTATCTTTCATGTAGTGTACACTATGATGACCATGTTCTCCACAAGTGAAATAATGATTGGCTTGAGTTTTTTTAATAACCAGCTTCTTTAATTTCTTACCCTTACCATTTTTAGTCTTTGGTGGACCAGTGTTCACTCGTGGAGGTCATGAGTTGGGATTTCCTTTCACAAAACACGTTCTTAGAAGAAGTGTTGGTGGTGTGTTCATATGTGTAGCCTAAACAACGCTTGTTAGCCACACTTTTTCCCATAGACAACATTCTATCAAGCTTTTCAATTCTTAGGGATAGTCTTTTAGAGAGTTCATTCTATTCAAGAAGATCTCTATCAAGTTTGACAATTTTAAACTCAAGACTTTTCTTAGATTCTACAAGCCCATGACACTCTCTTTCAAGGTACCTCACTCTATCTTGAACTGATTTCTTCCTTTCTTCAAGCCCACAAATTTGAGCTTTGGATTTCATTAAGTCCACATGTAGTGATTTTCAATCTTCTTCACTTGAGTTTACCCGATCACTCAAGGCAATCACTTTCTTTTATTGTTTGAGAAATTGCTCATACAATTGATTATATGCATCATGAATATCCTCAAAACTCTCTTTGTCCTCCTCATATGTGGGGAATTCCTCTTTCAAGTCTTCTACCATCGTGGTAGGACTTGGTTCAACTTCATTAGCCAAAGTTTCTTTAAGGGAAGAGGAGTGTGAACCTACAAAGGCCATGAAATCTCTTCATCATCATCAAAAGAGGAGTCATCATTCAATGTTAACTCACTGGCCATATTTGGCCTTCAATGTAACACCCAGGTTTTCAGTGAGCAAAAATTGGGGCAAGAAGGAGAGCAAGAGTGATTAGGGGTTTAGATGGTCGGACTATGAATTAATATCTTTGGAGTGTGTGCTTGGGTGTTTTGGTGATGGATAAGGTGATAGATTGGGGTAGAAGTGTGACTAGTGAAGAGAGATGCTTGATCCCAATTAGTACACCCAAGTACAGGAGGTTAAGTGTATAAATAAATTCTATAGTCTAAGGTCAATCCATAAGGAAATTGGAACACAAAAAAGGTCAAACAAAAGAACTTGAATCGAGAGTATTGATTTTAGGTGATCCATATCCAATTGAGAAGGAATTTAACAAAGGAAAAGAATACTTCCTATCATCAGGATCAGGGAATAATCTTATGTACTAAATATTATATTCATGCAATCATTCATTATCTCAATTGACGTCCAACATCAGTGTAATCAACCGAAAAATTAGCCTAGTGAATAATTTCATAAGTTTACAGAGTACAATCCTTTGCTAAACTCATTCATTCAATCTATATATTGGAAAAGATTTAACTTGGAAGAACAAAAAATAATGATTGCATTAATAAAATATTCAGTACACAGTCATACAACCGTACCCTAGCTAAGAAGTACAAGGAGATTATTCACAAGCCATGTGAAAATCTCACAGAAGAAGAAAGAATAATTCTAAGGGTTGAATATCAGATCCCCCTTCTGATGAGTTCCAAGCTAGAGATCCTTTTCACATGTCAAGGGGTCCAATTACTAAAGCTCAGGCCAAGAAGGTTAAAGTGGCAATGAAAGGGTTTGTTCAAGCAAGCGTGGTTGAATACTCCAAGGAGTCAAGTAACTCCACCTTATCAAAGATGGGCTTAAAAGAAATGGAAGCATCTAAAGTATACTTGCTACAAGCTAGGAATGAAGAGGAGCATCAAACTGGACCCTATCCTAATAGGCCGGGTCACGAGGCCCGTTGGGCTAAACCTATTGGGCCAAATTTGGGCCCAAATATGGCCTAGAATTGTCATGCATTATGGGCTGCCAAAGATTCCAGAATTATTCCTCAAATCTTGTGATGATTATGGGAAGATCTTGGGGATATCTTCCCATGTATGGCATGCCACTCTTTTTGGAAAAGCATTAATCAAGCTTGGAGAAGAGTCAAAGATTGGGAGATCCTTATCACAAGCATGGAAGGAATTTGAAGACCAATAAAACTCCTATTCTTGGAAGGATTATCTTCTAGAATAATCTACATTAATTATGTTATTTCCTTTATTTTAAAATTTCAGAGTTACTGTTCATACCTTCCTTGGAGGCCAAGTTTTGTAGCCTATAAAAGGCCCTTTAGTGCAATGAATAAAGGGGGAATTGTTTTGAGAGCAAAAGCTTTGTGAGTTGAGAGTTTTCTCCTCTTGTTCTTTTGTGAGCACTCGGCTTATCAAAGGCTTGCAACCTTTGTGGTGCCTCTTTGCAACCAAGGTTTCTCGAGACAGGTTCTCATTGGGTCTTGTGTTTCGAACCAAGGTTTCTTGAGACAAGTTCTCATTGGGTCTTGGGAATTTTCCCTTTTCCACTTGAATTTCGGCTTTCTTGGGATTGAACCAACTTGTTTGTGGGTTCAAGGAGCTTTATCTCCGCGGTTTCACATCAGTTGGTATCAAAGCTCAGGCTCCGAATTAGATTTTGTCTTTCTTTTCTAATTTATTTATTCTCCTCTTGTTGGGTGAACCTAGAAGAACACAAGTTGATCTCTCTTTGTTTATCATCCTTTTGTGTTTTTTTTGATACTTCTTCTTCTTCTTCTGACTTGGGTGCGGTGAACTAGAAAAAAAACAGAAGGAAAAAAAAAGAGCAAAAAAAAAACTAGAAAAAAAAATATTTATGCTCACGCACTTCCAGATCCTTTGTTGGGCGAACTTGATGGCAGTAAATCAATAAAATATATTGATTGGTTTCTGAATATTACTATTATTGCTATTGGTATTATATACCAGACAATATCTTAGAGTTTTTTTTTTTGGATTCGTGCGTTAACTTCAGTGAGCACTCTCTTTATTGGACTCTGTGTCTCATATCAAGGACTTTAACTTCTCGGGGATCTTGGTTGTCAGGGGCTACACCGAGGCCAAACTTTGGTTTGCATTGTGTTCATCCTTAGGAACTTGATTGGGGATTTTTTTCTCTTGTAGATATACCCTAACAATGTCTTCCAAAGAAGGCTCTAGAGAAGAAAGGGGAGGTGCCGGATTTGACGAGGAGTTTACCTTGCATGCAGTGTTCCAGAAATTACAACAAATGTCCTTGCAGTTCAGAAATATGGAGGACAGAATTGCTAGACAAGAGGTGACCTTACAAAACATACAGGGGGGACGAGGAGGACCTCGAGCTAACCCTAATGAAAACTTGGAAGATGAGGATGTAATGGGATTTTATGATGGTGATGACGATCGGGATAGGCGTGTGCAAGGAGGCCCTAGGAGACCCGATATGGGCCATGAGGGTATGGATGGAGATCTTGGGTGCATCAAGATGAAGATTCCTTCCTTTTAGGGCAGAAATGATCCGGAGGCATACCTTGAGTGGGAGAAAAGGATTGAACTCATCTTCAATTGCCACAACTATTCGGAGGAGAAAAAGGTAAAGTTGGCAGTGATTAAGTTCACAGACTATGCCGTTATTTGGTGGGACCAATTGATTAACACAAGGCGGAGAAATTATGAGAGACCTATTGATACTTGGGATGGGTTAAAGGCCCTTATGAGGAAGCGATTCATTCTGAGCCATTACTATCGCTAATTGTTCCAAAAGCTCCAAAGCCTTTCACAAGGCTTGAGGAGTGTTGAGGACTGTCACAAGGAGATGGAGGTGGCCATGATTAGGGCCAATGTGGAGGAGGATCGTGAGGCCACCATGGCGAGGTTCTTAAATGGCCTAAACCGTGACATAGCCAATATAGTAAAGTTACAACACTATGTTGACCTAGAAGACATGGTACACATGGCAATGAAGATGGAAAGGCAACTCAAGAAGAAGGGGACTACAAGATACACTTCCACATCATGGAAGCCAAAGTGGGAAGGCGGAGGAAGGAGTGAGGGAGCGATGTCCAAAGCAAGAGTTGAACCACCAAAAGGAGGTAGATGGGAGGAAGCCCCTAGCAAGCCCAAAGTCGAATCCCATCCTTCACAGAATAGGGACATCAAGTGCTTCAAGTGACTGGGATCGGGCCACATATCCTCACAATGCCCCAACAAAAGAGTAATGATCATGAGAGACAATGGAGAGGTGGAGACTGATGATGAGGATGTTGATGAGACCAAGCCTAAACTTGTGGAGGATAGCGATGATGGAGTGGAGGATCCTATTTTTGGTGAATCTCTTGTTGCTCGAAGGGCACTTAGCATGCAATCCAAATTTGAAGGTGAGGAGCAAAGAGAAAACATCTTCCATACACAATGCTTCATCAAAAACAAGGTATGTAACATGATCATTGATGGTGGTAGTTGTACAAATGTGGCTAGTACTACTATGGTTGAGAAGTTGGGATTGAAAGAACAAAAGCATCCTAAGCCATATCGCTTGCAATGGTTGAACGATTGTGGAGAGGTAAGGGTTACTAAGCAAGTCTTATCGGAGGCCTTGGCAATATGATCGGAGGGTGATGCATGATGGCTTCCGCAACCATTACATCTTTGAGAAAGATGGAAGAAAAATAACTCTTGCACCTTTGACACCCAAACAAGTGTATGAAGACCAATTGAAGTTGAGAGAGGGTGAGCAAAAGAAAGACAGTGACAAGAAAAAGGAGAGAGACAAAAAAATGAGATTGAAAAAAGAAAAGAAAGAGAGTGAGAAAAAAGGAGAGAGAGAAAAAAAATGAAACTGAAAAAGAAAAGAGAGAGAGTGAGAAGGAAGAAAGAGAGGTGGTGGAAAAAATGAGAAAGATGCCACTGGAGAGAAAAGAAAAGGAACGGAAGTGAAAAATAAAAGAGAGCTTCTTTGCAAGAGAGAGTGAGGTAAGGAAGGCATTTTTAGCAGATCAACCCTTGATCTTGCTCGTATACAAGGATTCATTCCTTTTAGAAACTAACTCTTCTCTTCCTAGCCTTGCTAATTCTTTATTGCAGGAATTTGAGGATGTCTTTCCCAAGGAGATGCCTAGTGGATTACCACCCATTCGAGGCATCGAGCACCAAATTGACTTGGTACTCGAGCCTCAATACCTAATAGGCCAGCCTACCTTTTATAAGGTGGACTTGACTCCTTAGAGTATTCAGCCACACTTGCTTGAACAAACCCTAGCATTGCCACTTTGATCTTCTTGGCCCGAGCTTTAGTAATTAGACCCCCCGACACATGCAAAGGATCTCTAGCTTGGGACTGATCATTCCCACTCTCCTCGAAAGGATTCATCCTCGAATCATCACCTGCATCAAAATGGGAAAGGTCAGACACATTAAAATTAGGAGAGACATTATACTCACCTGGAAGATCCACTTTATATGCATTATCATTTATCTTCTCACGAATTTGGAAAGGACCATCTCCCCTAAGTAACAATTTGGATCTTCTATGGGCAGGAAATCGTTCCTTTCTCATGTGTACCCACACCCAATCACCAGACTCAAAAATCACATGTCTTCTTCCTTTGTTAGCTTGAGAAGCATATTGCTTGTTATTTGCTTCGATTTGAAGGCGAACTGTCTCGTGTAGGGCTCTCACCAATTCAGCCTTTCTCTTGCCATCCAAGTTGTGCCTTTCTTCCACAGGTAAAGGCAACAAGTCCAAAGGAGTTAGTGGATTAAAAGCACAAACAATTTCAAAGGGAGAATAAGATGTAGTAGAATGCACACTCCTATTATATGCAAACTCTATAAATGGTAAACATTCCTCCCATGTTTTCAAATTCTTTTGAATGACAGTGTACAAAAGTTGAGTCAAAGTTCTATTAACAACCTTGGTTTGTCCATCGATTTGTGGGTGACAATAGTTGAAAATAACAGCTTAGTTCCCAATTTTGACCACAAAATCTTCCAAAAATGGCTAAGGAACTTGACATCTCTATCTGACACAATACTCCTAGGCATACCATGGAGTCGCACTATCTCTCTAAAGAACAAATCAGCTATATTTGTAGCATCATCGATCTTATGACATGCAATGAAGTGTGCCATCTTGATAAAACGATCCACTACAAAAAATATGGAGTCTCGACCCCTTTTGGTCCTAGGTAAGCCCAAAACAAAGTCCATGGACACATCAACCCAAGGCTCACTAGGAACAGGCAAGGGAGTATATAACCCATGAGGCATAACCCTAGATTTGGCCTTTTTACATGTGATACATCTACTACAGATTATAAAAACATCTCTTTTTATCTTAGGCCAAAAGAAGTGCTCATGTAGCACCTCTAGGGTTTTAGTAACTCCAAAATGTCCCATCAAACCACCCCCATGTGCCTCTCACACAAGCAACTCACGCATGGAACATTTAGGCACACACAATTTATTTTCCCTAAACAAGTAACCATCATCATGCTTGTAAAACTTACCAAATGAGGTTTTCTTACATGATTTGTACAAATACAAAAAATCAACATCATTGATGTACATTTCTTTCACTTGCTCAAAACCAAGCAATTTGGTACTCAAAGAAGTAAGAAGAGCATACCTTCGAGATAAAGCATCGGCCACTATATTCTCCTTACCTTGCTTGTATCGAATGACATAGGGAAAAGTTTCTATGAATTCCATCCATCTTGCATGCCTTTTGTTCAACTTACCTTGTCCCTTGAGATGCTTCAGAGACTCATGGTCAGTGTGTATCACAAATTCTTTCGGCCACAAGTAATGTTGCCACGTCTCCAAAGCACGGACAAGAGCATATAATTCCTTATCATAGGTAGGGTAGTTCAAAGCCGCCCCTCTTAGCTTTTCACTAAAGAAGGCAATAGGTTGATTTTCTTGCATTGAATAGCTCCAATACCCAATCCTGAGGCGTCACACTTAATTTCAAAAGTTCGGTTAAAGTTAGGAAGTGCTAAAATAGGTGCATAACACAATCTATCTTTAACAATTTTAAAAGCATTTTCTTGATCAATACCCCAATGAAAACCAAGATTCTTTTTTATTACCTCAGTAAGTGGTGCAGTAATGGTGCTAAAGTCATGCACAAAGCGTCTATAGAAGCTAGTCAAGCCATGAAAGCTTCTTACCTCAGTAACGCTCTTAGGTGTTGGCCATTCCTTGATGGCTTTCACTTTCTCCTCATCAACTTCAAACCCTTTTGCACTAACAACATAGCCAAGAAATACAACCTTTTCCATGCAAAAGGTACACTTTTTGAAATTAGCATATAGCTTCTCTTGCCTTAACGCAACAAGCACACATCTCAAGTGATCAATGTGCTCTTCTAAAGATTTGCTATACTCTAAGATATCATCAAAATAAACTACAACAAACTTACCTATAAATGCACGTAAAACATGATTCATCAATCTCATAAAAGTGCTTGGTGCACTAGTGAGACCAAACGGCATGACTAACCACTCATAAAGCCCATGTTTGGTTTTAAAATAGTTTTCCACTCATCTCCTTCTTTCATTCTTCTTTGGTGATATCCACTTTTGAGGTCAATTTTTCTAAAAATACATGAGCCATGTAACTCATCAAGCATATCATCTAGCCTAGGGAATGGATGGAAATACTTTACCGTTATGTTGTTGATGACTCGACAATCAACACACATACTCCAGGTCCCATCCTTCTTAGGCACAAGTAGTACTGGTATGGCACATGGATTCATGCTCTCTCCGACATGCCCTTTTGCCATCAATTCTTCAACTTGCCTTTGAAGTTCATTTGTTTCCTTAAGATTGCTTCAGGGATCTTATTTGTCTAGTGCTTGACAAAATTCCTTGTTGTTTCCTAACCTCTAAACATCACCTTTTAGCATGTATAGTATATGAATAAAGGGGAGTGTCACTCTCCTAGGGATGATGTCAAAAGAAAGGGCAACGGAATGGTGGATGAATGAAATGTCAAATGTGAGTATGTGTGAACAAAAGTGCTCCCCAAGCGCAAGAAGACTTTCGCAAATCATGTTTTACTTGGTGGTAGTTCAAGGTTGTTTCCACGGGGAAGGAAGTCAACCGAGGGGAAGGTGATTTTGGGAGAACGAAAGTGTAGCATCTTTGATTGTTGGAAGTTGTTTGGAGAAGTTGTTTTGATGCTAGTAAAATGAGAAACAAATGTTGGCAAATCCAAAGGTCACTCCAATAGGAATACCGTCTCAACTTGAAACCCTCCTCCAATAGAACATGAATGAATGATTGATTCATGGGAAGCTAGGGATAAGATTGGTGAGTATTTAAGCATAAACCGTGACTAGCCCTACGGAATATCAAAGACTCGCCAAGTTATCCACCCTCAACCCAGTCAAATCGAACCATTGAACTCTGAAATAGGGGAGGAGAATGAGTTGAAATGGTATACCCAAGTGGAGGTTCCTCTTGGTTTTGCCAACTAAGAGATTTAGCTATTCATGCTTAAAATAAAGACAACAATATGATGAGAAGACATTATGAAAAAATAAAGACTACAGCTAAGCATAAACGAAATGAATAAATATAACTTTTGGATAATCACCTCTTACTAAAGATTGGATGAGAAACTACTCACTCTTCATGGCTTTGTTAAAGCTAGAAAAGTGAGTGATGCTCATCCCTCCAAGTAAAAGAGTTACAAGGTAAAACACTTTACACAAGGAGTCGATCTTCGACAAAGAATTAATGAATCACATTCCACCCTTCACGGCTTTGGTAAAGCTCTAGAAAAGTGGAAAAGTTTCACTCCTCTAAGGGAAGAAGCAAGCTCAAGCAATAGAAGTAAAAGAAAGCAATAACACAATAAAAGAAAGTAATACTTAAAGTAAAAGAAATAAATAAATTAAAAGGAAGCAATAATACAATAAAAGAAAATAATACTTAAAAAAAACAATAAGCAATAATACTTTCGAAAGGTTTTCCACTAACAAAAGATGAATGTTTTACAAGTCTTAAGGGGTGGTATTTATAGGCAACAAGGGAGGGTGAAAGTCTTGTTAGGTGGCTTTGAATTACATGAAAGTCTTGTTAGGTGGCCTTCAAAAGTCTTGTTTGGTGGCCTTCAAAAGTCTTGTTAGGTGGCCTTGAATTCTTTGATCCCCCTTTGTTTTGA